CAGGCTCTGAGCTGTCAGCACAGAGCCCGATGAGGGACCCAAACTCATGAACTGCAAAATCATGACCTGAGCTGAAGTCAAATGAGCCACCCAGGCACCCCACTCCGCTAGGATTTTTGTGGATTCAGGTGTCACATTAAGTATTTTATCCATTTTGATTTTATTTTTGTGTATGGTGTAAGAAAATGGTCCAGTTTTATTCTTTTGCATGTTGCTGTCCAGTTTTCCCAACACCATTTGTTGAAGAGACTATCTTTTTCACATTAGATATTATTTCCTGCTTTGTTGAAGATTAATTCCGCATATAGCTGTGGGTTTATTTCTGGGTTTTCTATTCTGTTCTATTAATGTATGTGTCTATTTTTGTGCCAGTACCATACTGATTTTTTTTATGTTGAGCTATACTTTTTAATTTTTTATTTTAATTTTTTACAGTCATAAGTGCATTTATTTATGGTACATCTTTTTAAATATAATTTATTGTCAAATTGATGTCCATACAACACCCAGTGCTCATCCCAACAAGTGCCTTACTCAATGCCCATCACCCACTTTCCCCTCCCACCACTCCCATCAACCAAGTACCATACTGTTTTGAACACTATAGCTTTGTCATATATCTTGAAGTTGGAAATTGTGATGCTTACAGCTTTGCTTTTGTTTTTCAAGATTGCTTTGGCTATTTGGGGTCTTTTGTGGTTCCATACAAATTTTAGGATTGTTTGTTCTAGTTCTGTGAGGAGATCTTTCTCCTTCTTTGATTCTTTGGTTGACCCATTCATTGTTTAGCAGTATGTTATCTGTGGTCTTTCCAGATTTTTTCTTGTGGTTGATTTCTAGTTGTATAGCATTGTGGTCAGAAAAGATGCATGGTATGCCTGATCATTTTGAATTTGTTGAAACTTGTTTGGTGGCCTAACATGTGATCTGTTCTGGAGAATATTCCATGTGCACTTGAAAAGAATGTGTATTCTTCTATTTAAAGATGCAATGTTCTGGGGCGCCTGGGTGGCGCAGTCGGTTAAGCGTCCGACTTCAGCCAGGTCACGATCTCACGGTCCGTGAGTTCGAGCCCCGCGTCGGGCTCTGGGCTGATGGCTCAGAGCCTGGAGCCTGTTTCTGATTCTGTGTCTCCCTCTCTCTCTGCCCCTCCCCCGTTCATGCTCTGTCTCTCTCTGTCCCAAAAATAAATAAACGTTGAAAAAAAAATTTAAAGATGCAATGTTCTGAGTATGCCTGTTAAATCCATCTGGTGCAGTGGATTCAAATCCACTGAATCATTATTGATTTTCTGTTTGGACAATCTGTCTATTGATGTAAATGAGATGTTAAAACCCCTGGTATTATTTTATTACTATCTATTAGTTCCCTGAAGTTTATTTTTAACTATTTTATGTATTTGTGTGTTTCCATGTTGGGTGTGTAAATATTCACAATTTTTATATCTTCTTGTTTGGTTGTCTCCCTTTATTATTATATAGTGTCCTTTATCTCTTGTAATGGTCTTTGTTTTAAAGTCTATTTTGTGCAATATAAGTTTCACTACTCTGGCTTTCTTTTGACATCCATTTGAATAGATCCATCATAAATGCTTCTCTAACGCCTCACTTTCAATATTCCGGTTTCTTTAGGTCTGAAGTAAGTCTCTTGTAAGCAGCATATAGAAAAATCTTGTTCTTTTATCCACTCTGTCTCCCTATGTATTATGATTGGATCATTTATCCTATTTAATTCCAAGATTTATTGATAGATATGTATTTATTGCCATTTTGTTAATTTTGTGGTTGTTTTTTAGTATTTGATCATTTCTCTTGGTTTCTTTCATATTTTTTTGGCTTTCATTAGTGATATACTTGGGTGCCTTTTTCTTTATTGTTTGCATATCTGTTAATGGTGTTTGGTTTGTGGTTATCATTAGGTTTGTATATAATATTTTCTGCATATAGCAATCTATTTTTAAGTTGGTTGTCACTTAAGTTGAACCCATTCTTTACTTCTCTCCCCCCACCAACAACCAGTTCTAGGTTTATGGCTCAGTCTCTTTACTGATTTTACATATGTATTTTTTATGGCTTTTGTGTTTTTTCCTTATCCTGCTCTTACTTATGGTCTTTCCTTTCTACTCAGAGTCCCCTTTAACATTTCTTGTAGGACTGGTTTAGTGGTTATAAACTTCAAGCACAGGTTCACATTGGTGGGAAAGGAACAGCTTGCCAAAAGAAGGTGGTTCAGAGAACAGCTACAGCAGATGAAAAAAAAAAAAAAAAAAAAAAAAAAAAAAAAAAAAAAAAAAAAAAAAAAAACTTCAGTTCTCCTTAAAGAAGTTAAGGGTAAACAATACCTCTGGTATTGAAGAACTAAATATGTTCACAAACCAAGGAACAGTGATCCACTTTAACAACCCTAAAGTTCAGGCATTGCGGGCAGTGAATACTTTTATTATTACAGGCCATACTCAGATAAAGCAGCTTACAAAAATGCTTCCCAGTATCTTAAACCAACTTTATGCAAACAGTATGACTAGTTTCAGAAGACTGGCTGAATCTCTGCCCAAACAATCTTTGGATGAAAAAGCACAACTTGTTACCAGAAAGGTGGATGATGATGAAATTCTAGATCTTGTGTACAATTTTGATGAAGCTTCAAAGAATGAAGCAAAGTGAATTGAGTCAACTTCTGAAGAAGATAAAACTTGAAGAAGTTTCTGGGAGCTGCTGTTTTATATTATGACTGCTTTTTAAATGTTTGCTCAGGATCTGATAAAATCTAGATCTATTATATGGCTAAGTCCAACCTCTTCAACACTGCAGCTCTTTTCATTATTTGTTTACACACAATTCATTCTGTGCAGCTAACTGGGCTTAAGAAAACTTGAAATAAAGTTTGAAACAATGTTAATAAAGTTATTTGCTTTGTACACAGAAAGGACAGTTGTTTATAGAAAGCTGATCATGGCATGTAATATGGCTGGTAATCTCTGATGAAGTTTGAATAAAGATTTTAAATGGCAGTATAATGCAAATTAAAAAACAAAACAAAACAAAACACTGAGAACTGATGGAGAGAAACACTAATGCCTGAGATATGCTGGGCTTAAAGTTGGATGTGCTATGGTTTCAGGTGGTCTCACCTTAGGGTCAGGGCAGGTGCATTTGACTATATGTGGGCCAGTGGATTATGCTAGATGAAATTTTTATAATCAAGGTAATAATAGTGACACTGTATGTTTGCATATACATACACATGTCCACTTTGGAGTGAAGGGGTGGGCTGTGATTATATTGCACACATACACTCTCACTATTATTACCTTGATTATAAAAATTTCATCTAGCATGATCCACCTTCAAAACACTAACTCTTCCTGCTTTTCTATTAATAAAACTTACCCATTCTGACCATAGTAAGACATTGACCTTGGCAGGGGCAAATATACAGTCCCTTCCACCAGCCATTGATTGATTGCTCCAGGGAAGGGCACATGGCTCACTCTTTGGATTCTTATAGATAAAAGCTAGACGAAAGAAATGTTTCCCCTGAGTTATGACATTGACAGTCTGTTAGCTTGCAGCTAGCAATATCCAACATCCCTGCCCCTAAAATCAGCTTTTTTTTTTTTGGGAGAAGAATGAACTAAGGCAGAGACAATAAGAGAGAGGGAACAGGGCACAAATCGCTCATTTGAAACTCCAGTTCCTTTTGAAGTTTGCAGTTGGTTTAAGCTGCTTCAAGATGGGTTTTTGTTGCTTGCCACCAGAGGCTCACTGATCATTATGTCAATACTCAAGCTAAGTTGCCTGAATCCACCTAGCTATGAGGTCTATATCAAATCCATGCCCAGGTATGTTTGTTCCAAAGATGCCTCTTCTCATGTACCATAAAGATCTCTCAGGGGAGGATGGAAGAGAGAGGGTTCATTGGAAGAGAGCTGGTATTTGGCCTTAGATCCAGCTGCCACAAAGCTGGGGCTTTTAATGCTGTGCCACCTCCTTTCTGACCCTCCCACCAGGCCAGACATCAGGCTGAGATGTATCAAACAACAGGCACTCAAAGTCTTGTTTATTTGTCTGAGAAGGCTTGTTAGATGAACAAATCATCCTCTTTTTCTTCATCTGTCAACAGGAGAGAGTGAAAGATACATGGCTTCTCACTAATGACCTGGGGAAACATGAATGTGTTACATATTCTGACTTGATGAATGGGATGAGCTATGTGGGTCAGGACACCAAATTGGCTTCCTTCCTGTCCTGGCCAAGGTGCTAGTGACCCCTTCCCCATTTACCCTCCAGTGTAGGAAATGGGAACAACTCCTGGGTGTTGGGAACATTTTAAGGCTCAAAGAAGCTCACATTGACTTCAGGAGGCCTCCATTCTCTTGGCTTCAACCAAACACCAGACTTGGCCTCACACTTTGGGGTTGGTCTTCACCTTAACATAGGGAATAAGACTGCTGACTCCAATCTTTGGGAAATCTGATATAAGTATTGCTACTTCAGCTTTATTTTTACACCCATTTGCACTGAAGGGTCAGAGTGTGTAACATCACCATATTTCTCCAGAGCATTAATGATAGACTGTGTATCTTTCCCCCACTCCTATTGACAGATGAGGAAACACAAGATCATCAGTTCATCTAACAAGCCTTCTCAGACAAATAAAAACCAAGCTTGGTGCCAGCTTGGAAGCAGTAGAAAAAACTTCCCACAGTGAAATAAGTAAGCCCTGATAGGCCTGAGGAGCCAAGAAAAAGTGAGAAGTGAGTGGCAATGCTGGTGACAGGTGGAATCCTCCTGTGATTGCTATTGTCACTTTCAATCTGCAGGTGCTTTAGGTCTAAAATGATTCTCTTTTAGGTAGCATATAAATGGGTCCTTTTTTTTCCATTCAGTTACCTTATATCTTTGATTGGAGCATTTAGTCCATTGACAATCAAAGATATTTGATAGAATAGATGTATTTATTGCCATTTTACTACTTGTTTTGTCATTGTTTCTGGAGATTTTTTTTCCTGATCCTTTCTAGGCTTTGTCACTTTTGTCTCTCCTTTCACCTCAAAGAGTCCTCTTTCATATATCTTGCTGGGCTGGTTTAGTGGTCACAAACTCATTTAGTTTTTATTTATCTGGGAAATGCTTTATCTCTTCTTCTATTCTGAATGATAGCCTTGCTAGAAAGAGTATTCTTAGCTTCAGGTCATTTCCTTTTATAACTTTGAAAGTATCTTCTGGGGTGCAAAATTCCTGCTGAAAAATCTGCTGATAGCTTTATGAGGTTTCCCTTGCATGTAACTGTCTTTTCCGTTGCTACTTTTAAATTTACTTTCTTTATCACTACTTTTTGTCATTTTAATTACTGTCTTGGTGTGGACTTCTTATGGTTGATTTTTGAGGGTGAGTTTCTGTGCCTACTGGATCTGGATACCTGATTCCTTCCCCAGATTACAGAATCAGCTATTATTTCTTCAAATAAATTTTCTGCCCCATTTCCTGTCTCTTCTTCTGGGATCTCTATAATGTGAATGTTATGGTCAATGGTGTCGAGTTCCCTAAGACTATTCTCAGTTAGCATAATTTTTCCCTCTCATTTGCCCAGCTTGATTACTTTCCATTACTCTGTCTCCCAAGTCATTAATGTGCTCCTCTGCTTCCTCTAACCTGCTATTTATTCTAATAAGTGTATTTTTAATTCCATTTAAATTAATCATTTTGGATTAATTCTTTGACATATCTTTGTTAAGGGTCTCATTGATGTGCTCCACTCTTTTGTCAAGTCCAGTGAGTATCTTTATGATCATTACTTTAAACTCTTTATCATATATATTACTTATTTCCATTTCACTTAAGTCTCTTCCTGTGATTTTGTCCTGTTCTTTCATTTGGGACATATTTCTCTGTGTCGTGTCTTTACTTTGTCTAACTCTTTGTGTCTGTTTATGTGTGTTTGGAAAGTCAGGTACATTTCTTGCTCTTGAAGATAATGGCTTTATAAAACAGAGGTCTTGCAGTACCTTGCAGTGCAGTGCCCTTTGCTCTCTAGTCCTGGCATTTCAGGGAATGTCTCCTATGTGTGTTGTCTATGGCCTGCTGTTGAGTCCTGACCTCTTTTCCCTTCAGTACTGATGTCTTCAGAGTCTCTTCTTGCCTGCTGTGGACAGTGTTTGGTCCCCAGGTGGGTGGAGTATTTTTAACACATTATGTACTGGTCTGCTTGGAAATGAATTTTTCCAATGCCACAGCTGCCAGAACTGAGGTCCTGCAAAATGTGCAGATCAGGAGAAGGGGTGTTGTGGTGGGGTTTGTTCAGGTCTTCTATGAGAAGGGGCATGCAGCACAAGGACTGAGGCAAGTGTGATTGGGAAGGGTAGAGCCTCCAAAGCATGGGGTGATAAGACTTGGTGTTAACAAGTTAAATAGCAAGTGTAGACGCTATGCTGGTTCCTGTGATGGCCTTGTGTTTATGGTGAGGGGTAGGTGAGGAAAATGGCACCTGCCAGCTCTTTTGTTCCTGAAGGGGTCTCCCTGTGATCCTTCCCTCTCCAAGCCACACTCTGAGATGAGTAAATCACTTTCCTTCCTGTTTGACCCTGATATTTTTCAAACTGCTGCTTCCAGGTTATATCTCTGAGAGCTGTCTGTCGTGTTGTCTCTTTCAAGGTGGGACTTCACTTCCCAATGCCATCGGGGCTCCCCCCAGAGCCAAGCCAATTTTCTAAATTCCAGGCTTTAATTCCTACTGGCTGTAAGAACTCATGAAATTTTTTCCTTCTCATTTTCTAACCAAATGTTATGGGGATTCATCTAATTTATGGGGGCTACCTGGTGTGAAAGTCTGTTTTTCAACCCTCTCTGTACCATCATCTCCTTCCCCATGGTCTCCTCTGTTTAGCTTCCAAATCATGTCTCCACTCTTCCTGCCTTCTTCAATGTGGCCCCTTTTCTACGTTTAGTTCTAGAGTTTGTTCCACCAGTCTTCAGATCCTTTTCTGGGTTATTTATACTGATATCAATGTTATCTGATAGTATTCATGGGATGAGGTGAGCTTAGGGCCCTTCTACTTCACCTTCTTCCAAGACTGCAATATTGTTACTTCCTAATGGAAATACATTGGCTTAAGAACCTAAGCTTCATTTGTCCAAGAGATAACTGCAGTTGTCTATATTGCATGGGCCTATCTTCAGGAATTATGAAAGCTAATAATCTGTGTGATTCTAATATTTTTGAACCTATGGAATTTTTATTTTGCAAATGACTGTAACAAAACAAAAAAAAATAAGTACCACATTGATAACCAGTTCATCATTTAACTTTTACTGAGAACCATTAGTTGAAGAGCTAACATTACAGGAGGTTTGTTATCTTCCAAAGGCAATTCTCAAGCAACCCTAGATGTATCAGTCACTTTAACCTTTAATAAACAGATTTCTCAGAAAATTAAAATATTTGGGCAAATCACCATTTAAATTTTAAACTATTTTCTTATATTTTATTTTTGCATATATCTTGACAACAGGAAGTCTCTGATAGAAATGTGTTTCTTCACAGTAGAAACTAATAGTAAAAAAGTATACCTTTTACATATCAATTTAAGAAATTGTGGGGCACCTGGGTGGCTCAGTCGGTTAAGTGTCCAACTTCAGCTCAGGTCATGATCTCACAGTCTGTG